AGAAATAATTAACACCTTTCGTTTTGAGTGTTTTCTTAGGACGACGCTCAAATCTCAATATGCTTGATAATTTTTGATTGAACCATTTATGTGGTCTGTTATAGGCACTTGTACAACCGAATACACCAGTTTTGGCCATCTCAGCCTCGGCAGCTGGGCACGTTCATCTTTTAGCCAACCTTCTCGGAGAAAGCCAAGCACCTTCATAGTGTAGGAGCATATGTGCTATTAATACGTTTCCACTAAATGAAAATATCTCTGAATGAGCAGTGTTATGCAAGAGTAGAAATACGAGAACACGCTTATAACTCCAGTATTCTAGACACAAGGAAGGAATAAATTTTAAGTAGGTCAAATCGAAATTTTTCATCATGTAATGTTCATACACTATCCTCTTCAAAACGAAGCGCTAGCTAAGGCTCAGAGATCATTGAGCCTGCGTATAAGAGTGTGGAAAAGTGAGATCTGACATACAACTTCCGTACCTCGTATATAGTGAAGTACAGAATCACAGAAAATCACTAGCAGGTCAGATGGAAATTGTTTCGTTATTTGATGTTTCAGCATCTTCATAATAAAGCGTGCATTAATGTTCTATCGTTTAGTGGGCATTGGTAGATGAGCGCAGAAGTACAAGAATATGCTCATAACTTCGGTATCCCGGCAAAGGATATAAAATCATACAAAATCAAAAGTACTTCAGTCTTGTTTCGCTGTGTGATCTCTCCACACAGCGTCTTTCTTAAAATTGAAAAGTTCGCTTGGATTTCGTCGTTCACTGGACATTCGTGAAAGAGCGTAGAAGTATGAAATTATGCGTAGACATTCGGTGTTCCGGAGCTATTCAGATAAAAATTCAAAAAAATCTTCGATTATTTCAAAGTTGTTTCGTTAACTGATTTCTCTACACACTGTGTCCTGCAAAATAAAACACTAACTAACGCTTCGTAGTTATTGTGCATCCGTAAAGGAGCATGAAAATACGATAATACGCCCAGCATCGTTATCCCGAACATAGCGAAATAAAAATCATATACAGACATACGTAAATCGTATCGAAACTGTTCCGATGTATTGCATACAACAAAGTTATATAAATTAAGATGGTTCTCTATGTCAGCATGAATGTTTTTTACATGATACTGTTTGGATTAACATTCTATTCTTCCACTGTGGAATACGATGAAATATAGGATGACAAAGATCTGCAGTAATCGCGGGTTGTAAAGAAAATCTCACCATCTTAGAATGGTTGATATTGTATAACCATAGGGATGTTGAACTATAGGCAAAACTAGGAGCTTAAGATGGTCCTCGAACACACAACCACTCTTTCCGGCTTTACACGTGCTCTCCTCTACGCCTATCGATACTCTCGCTCTGTGTCTTTCCCTTTGCAGTCTAAACCAGAGTCCCAAAACCAAAATCCAATGAGGATCGCTGTTTGTGGAAAACACGTTTCAAACAATCATCACTCTGTGAGTTGAGAAGTAGGACGGATTAGAACTTGTTGCTCGCGACAAATACTAACATTCAGTGCCCACAAAGCTTTAGCTTCTTGGGATAGGTCAAGAGTAACAGTTACACTTTGAAACGATAGTTTTAACCGGATATGCCCTTCCGTTCATTCTGCCTATATTTCCAATGAAATAAGTCCTATCACAATTGATAGATTAATATACAATTTGAAGACATCACATAACTAAGTAATTTCTACCTTACTTATGAGTTTATGTGATTTTTTGTTACACTCACTTTTGGGATAGCAAAGTTGCATGCGCATCTTCGTGTTTCTACGCTCTTTTACAAATGCCAATGCGAGGTAAAATGCTTGAGAACGCTTCAATTTGAAGAAGACAGTCTGTAAAAACATCAAGTAGCCAAACAATTTCGATCTGACCTTCTTATGATTTTATGTCAATTTGCCGACGCGCCGTTTTCGACTGCCTCGGACGGCCACGAAAAGAGGCTGACGGCGCCTGCTCCAAGGCTAATGTGGTAGTTTTATAATGAAATCTACATTTTTTTCTTCAAATGGGACTTCTGTAACAATAAATGGCTAAATATGGTAGAACAGGCTTCAGTGAGGTTTCTTCCTTTGGAAATCATGTAATTGCTCCAAATATGTTCCACATCTTCAAAGGTTAAAAAAAACCAGTATTTATACTATATTTTGTACCTTTGTCGAACATCTCTATAATATTTTCTTTTGCTTACAATATAATCGAATTTATCTCTTGTTTTCTTTCATTTTCATACACTTTATAGCACAATGCACAAAGTCATCATACTGGTCGGAAAACAATGAATAGTTCCTAAAAAATAGTGTTGCTTATTGCATGCGATCCTACTTCTTCAAAGTTTCTCAATATTTCTTTTTTTTGATTAACAGTGCACTTTAGATTCCCATTCCTCAGATCAATGCGTAATTTTGTTCCAATTCTATATACTTAGCTGTGGTATGGGAAGAAGAGTTGGAGGTGTAGCGATTTCCGGTCACTGCCATCCTCTTTGAGCTTGTTGGTAAAATGTATTTCTGAACCACCACTTTATTTTGAACACAGTTTCCCACAACTGTCACTCGTTTATGTCGCATATTACCGTCTTGGCCGTTATGGTTGTTATTCTTTGCTGCGTTAATAATATTATTATGTAAGTAAAGGCTTAATGACTCAAGTTTGTGGCTGGGACGCGTACATCAACATCAAGCCAATCGATAGCCGATCACCATATTTCTTCTTTACGCAGTGATAGTAGAGCATGGACTTCGGCAATGCAGTGGTAGGATACGCTTTGGTTGTATGAAACGCACCCGCTCAAAGAAAGTCGGTTTTGTAAACATCCTATATATAGAGGCTACATTTATTGTTTTCAGGAGTTTTTTCAGAATTATGCCCTCAGTTGTTCTATCTAGAACTTGTATGATTTTTTGCTACTTGTCGATTATATATAGTTTTTTTTTGTAAGCTTTGTTGTAGTAGTTTTGTACAACCCGTTTCGTTTTTATCTCGTTCTACTTTGTTCGTTTTTTCGCCTTTTCAGCTCACATTACTTTTATTATTACTGTTCAATGTTCATTTATCGACCGCTTTTCTGTAGACCGGCTCAAAATGATATAATTTGGTAAGGATATGACATGTTTAGAGCTGTTAGATCGTAGTTAAGGTACTGTATACAGGTACCTGTATACCGGTAGACCCTACAGCTCAGAACATGTCATATCTTTACTGTTTGAGTTATAAATAAACATTTCATTCGATTTTACAAAACACGGTGCTTTGAGCACGCCCATACTCTATTCCTAACCAAGAAATCATTTTTGATACAGCCAGTATAGAATAAATGATCACGATTACTTATCTGACAATGTTTTTTTTTAGCACAAATTGCTTCTACTTTATCAACATATAACTTTTTATTTTACATCGTATATCACTCACCGAGTTATAAAATTGCATGAATTGAAGGAACGGCATCCCACAAAGAAATGTTCAATCTAAAAACTCTGAACTTTTTTAGTCGACTGTATAATGTTGAGTCGTCTCTTGCGCTCCACTGCATCTAAAAAATTCAGCACTTTTTCAGTAGTTTTTTCCCTTTAAATGATTTGCTCGACTTTTGCGCTCTGTCAAACTGCCTGGGGAATCACGGCATTTCATTCTGAAATAAACAGTATTTACAGTAAAGTGATGTTTACCATATTTCGTACAAACGTGTTGAAGTGTAGCGGTATAGTACGTTATTAATGCAAATATCTGCCCTTTGAACCATTGATAATATCTTTAAAAGTCCTTGCTACAACTAATTTCTGTTGTGAACTTCTACTTTATGCAAGATTCATTCTTAACGGCAGGTACGATGCGAAATGTAACCAGAGGAGCATAAAGTTACGAGAAAAACCCGCAACCTGATGTTTGTATAATGAATTTGAACCACGACTATAACCTACAGGGGCAGCACGCGAATGCACTGCATCATTGACGCTTTTCCTTTAACTTTCTTCCAGTCATGCTTTAGCCGTAATGGTGGCTCCCAGCATTTCATTTTAGCGCGCATGTGTTGTTTACTCGCTCACATCGCAAGGTTTAGTTTTAAATAGAGTGATTTTTATGATCCTGAATACCTCGATTACAGTGGCATTTGAAAGTCATGCCACCATCTCTATTAGTTTGCATGGTTGGTGAATAATCTAACCTAAAATGATGTCGAGTTGCCCGGCGTCATATCGCTATTAAGTAGTAATTCTACTACTTCCGAAGCAACAGTCATCTAAAGTAAGCCTGGTAAGAAATTATTTAGAAGAACAAATGTAATGACGTGTTTTTCGAAAAAAAACGTCCCACAAAAGGTGCGAAACGCAAAGGGTGATGGTCTTCAGGCAGCAATCAGGTTTCGCATCATAAACACCAAAATTTCTTCGGTTGCATAAAACTTCAAAACAGTTGCGCTTCGGATAAATTTCAAACTCTCAAATAATTCGAAAAAAAGATACATCGCCATTACAGCTGAGTTAGATTAACCCGCTCGGGTCGATACGTTCTTTTGCAAGTTCTCTTTGAGTTTCAGTAATTATCCAGTAGCTTAAATCTTGCTAACTTGAATGCTGCGTTCTAATTCTGGAAAGATCTTCTTAGTGCGCTGTAGCAGCTATAATAAAATTACTTTTCATCTTCAGCAACATCTTTTCTCAACCAGGGTTTGCGGATAATTCTTCAGCAGAGCTCAGGGCTTATTTGATGGCTTGAACACGTCGATGCGGAACTTGAGCTTGCTTTTTGTAAAGGTCTCTACAGAGCGAAAATAATAGAATGCAAACAAAATGCGCTGTATTTCAAAAATGCTTAGAAAAAACTACTTGTACACCATCTAAGCTCAAATAAAAGACATATTAATAGTCTGGGTAGTCAATAACCAATCGGAAATCATCTTATTTCACCGCCTGTTGCGGTGTTATGATGTTTCAATAAATCCAATGATGTAGAGTGGTGTGCGAAAACGTTTGCGCCAGCTAGACTTGAACCCAGATTTCACCCTAACAGGAAGCGCGTGCTGAACCGTTGCACTACCGACGCTCGTTTTGATACGACTCTTCATACGCTACAGCGCGTAATCTGTCTAAATTTCCAGATAGGGTAAATTTTGGGTTCGCATTCCGGCTGACGCAAAAGTTTTTACACATCACTCTACATCATTAAGTCTGGGTAGTCTCCTTCCACATCTAGACTTCACGGGCTCCTCGAGAATGTATCAAAACGTCTTTGGATTTCAGTTAAACTCGTCAGCAAGCACCCGCCAACTCATCGATGGATCTTCTTCATTTCGATTGCCGACCTCTTAGTGATCGATTTCTCGTTGATACCGCTCTCTTAGCTTGCTGGCCATTCGGTCTGCTTCTTCACGAAATGTCTTGAACCAGCGCTGAACTGAGCAAACATCGCAAATTTCATCACTATGCGCCTTGCAGATTTGTCGATCAGTCTCAGAAGCGCTGACACTCAATTGTAGTGGAAGTGGAGCAGGAGACGAGATCCTTCTTTGGACACTTCTATTCTAGTGTTCAATGAGCAAGAAAATGGGTTTTTTGATAAGTTCTAATTCGCACTGAGTTCGTTTGTAAATACTTTTCCTCAGGAAATACGTCAGAATTTTTTTCGTAATAGTATTGAGTTTTCCACTCAAAAAAACTGAATTAATATGATAGTGCAGAGAAAATTCTGGTATCTGAGAATGCTGGAAAAATTGTATTTTTCTCACAAGAGGGAGAAAATCTCTGGATAGTTAGCGAAAATCACACCCTTTCAGGGTGCTAGTTGGAATCCTTGTGCGCATTTGTTCTCTATTTCAAAAAATTTCTAGGTTTATCGTACTAAGATTTTAAAGAAGGCTTCGTCCTATCTTTCTATAAGTACTAGCTCTTCTTTCCATTTCATATTGTCATATGAAGTTATGGAGAATTCACAATGACGTTGGAGCGACGGTTTAACTACTTAGGATGTGAAACGTTGTCTCCTTTTCGCTCATACAGAGCTGTATAGGAAACTTTTGTAGGCCAATTTTAACATCAAAGCTTTCAAGATTCGAGTTATCTCGTGACTGCTGAAAATCTTGCGAAAAGCCATTCACACACTTAAGACAAGCAACGATGCAGTTGAAATTCCTAAGATTTAAGCTTCCGAGTTTTGATAGAAGTTCGAGGGAAAAGTTCTGTTTCACGAAAGAGACTTGTGAATAATCTTATACCGAAAACACTAGCAATGTCTCAAACGGGTCGACTCAAATCTCAGACTGGATCTGTTGGGCATAAGGGAATTTGTAATCGCATATAAACAACGTCAGTGGCCTCGCTGTTTATGAGACTTAAATTGCCCGTTTTCCTATTAAGACTGAGCACTTTTAAGAGAGCACGGCTTAATGTGAATACGACAAAGTCATTGAAGAGTTAACCGTTGAACACCAAAATATGTGCCAAAAAAATTGCTTGCAAATAACTGAAAATAGATCTTTCAAGTTTTTAGCTATAGTATGAAGCTAACAATGGAGGTTATAATGAATAATCTGGTCAACTAAAACTTCGTAATTACGAAAATATCGTGGAAAACGCTATGCAGTTCATGTTTTCTTTTAGTGACTTTTAAAACTAGAAGTTCTCTATTTATAGTAACTCAGAATGACAAGTTATTCAGTTTTCCATCCACATTCACATAGCAGCACATCAACTCACGATTGCGTTCTCCTGTGCTGATAAGGGATAACGGCAATCATCTATAATTAATTCATTCTGGTTTTTGTGAATGATACATAAATGAGGAGTTGGAATTACTGTGTCCATTTCTTAAACTTAATAACTCGGCGACCTACCGTTGGCTGTTTTGAAACTTTTGTCTTGATACCGATTTGAGAGAGACGAAAGTGAAACAGAGCAATGATAAGGCTGCAAAATAATCGGTTCTTTATAAAATTCAGTTCCAGAATCGTGCTGAATAATCTATCAACTTCTAACAAAACATATTGTAGTGCAGACTCAAAAATACATTTTCAGAAGAAGATGGAAGGTTGCAAATGTCTTGTTTCACCAATATTTCTTGTCCTACGCGGCAAGAAAAAAAAAGGAATTAGCGATGGTCTTCCTGATTGTGCACTGTCGGAGACCAAATTTTCTTGTGCCTCTGCTTATTACAATAAATAAATCGGATAACTACTTTACCATTATATACGACATCTCCTGAAACCGTCATTAATATGAAAAGCCTTCCATGCAGAAAATCTTTCTTGGAAATAATGAGAATAGATGCAACGACGAGGAGCAGCGCCAGTCTCTCAAAAGTTGAAATATTACAACTGCAACATATAAGGAAATTCCATAATTCTTCCCAAACTTCATGATTTCAGGATAAATCACACTCATAGAGTAAAAGAAATTTCCTTTGATACTATAATGATCCTCATTAACTAGATTCGTCTGAAAAAGAGCTGAAAATTTGAGTGTTGTTGTCCACTCACCCGTCTAGTGCATGACACAATTCCCACGGCAATGTTGTTGTGAGAAATTTTGCCCATTGATTTTCTAATAGCACACTAATGCAGCTATAACTAATTTCTTCGTAAAACAGCGACGTATCCTGGGACACCGTCTGCAACGAATATTGAAAAACTCTTCAGGAGCTTTGGATGAATTGAACCATTGAGTGGATTACTAATGCGTTACCCGTTTGAAGAAGCGAACTTCCCTTTGGCCTTCCTTTCGTTGAGCGATATCTAATTGGGCGTCGTTGGGATTATGAAGTCTCACCTCATTATGAGACAAAAAATCTCTCATCCAAATTTTTGGACAAAGAATGTTTTTCATACACGATTAGCTCTCTTAAGTCTTAGGTCCAGAGAAAAACTTACGATGCTGAGCAGTGCTTTGCAAACTCTTGGCACAATTTCTTTTCACTTCTATGTCTCCTATGAGTAAAAGTTTTCACGGATATTGAGTTGTCATCAAATTTTCAAATTTTTCAATTTCTTAAGCCTTATCAACTTCTTATGATTAGCTGGGTGTTTTCAATGGTTGTCTTCTATTTGGTTGGAGTAGCCCTATTGTGGCACGAAGTTCACTACCAGCTGTGCTCCATCAGTTTATACACTGTAAAATAACAAAGGGAACGAGCTACTGCCACTTTTGTATGACTGACCATTAGAAAATATATATCGGTGTACATCAACTACCGCTTCATCTAAAAATTGCTAATCGATTACGACGAGGTCGAAGCAAAATTGCTTTCAAAAGCTGAACCGTCAAAGAATCAGACCGTTTCTAAGGAAGACAAAGAGCTTGAATTATCAGGCAGCAAAAAGTTTTTATAGCAGTTTCGCGTTAAGCTACTCACTCAAGAAGATCTTGATTGATTTTATCGAGAGTACAATTCTGCTATTAAATTCAGTAGTTCAGTAATAGAATGATTTTGATTGAATATAGCCCACTTTTCTGTTCACCAGAGAAATTTTGTTATTGTTAACTCAGCCAAGTTGAAGATATGAGGAGACTTGTACAATGCTAAATTACAAGCAATTATAAATCTAAATGACAATCCTCATAAGCTAGTGAAATGGAGGAAAATCGTCATGTCGTATTTATTGAAGAAAGTTTGTTGACACAGATAGTGGTTTTTTGCATAAAAGGAGAAAATCCTTGAGGTAGCAAAACAAACACAAGCAAACAAACAAACAAAAAGCAAGATAAAAGCAAGTAGGCTCTAAACTAGATACTTTATATCCGTGCGCACTTCTGTGGATAAAAACTGCTGTGATGTTATACTATTGATTGAGACTCAGCAAGCAGAGTCACATAAAATTTGTCATATTTGCCACAAATTATTCTCACAGAGATATTCTCTTTGCATTAGTAAGGAGACGTTGTGGTTCCGCGACAGGTGGCGGACTAGTGGTTGAAAGTGGACCAAAACGACCTCGCATTTGGCTGAGGCGCAGATAGATGCAAAAGATCAGCTCTTTATTTTTGCAATGACTAGTTGATTCCAGCCACGTCAAGCTTTACATAGGCGAGAAATGTGCCTGTATCAGATCCACAAAAATCAGTCTGAGATATAACGCGAAATCACGTGTGATTACGAGGCACATCATTACGATACATGTTTGGATTTACGGTATATATCCGGAGCGCTTCCAGAAATGTGCGGAGGCTTTACACTTCTGTGCCAGAATGGTTCCTTCTACTTCGAAATTTTCCTGGTTATGTGCTTGTGTTCAGTGCGTACCATTTGATCCAGTTTGAGCTCTGTCGACTAAGTGTTCTTGTTCACGGACAAAAAATGTGCTACTCGCCTTGACAATGTATCTGCCTCTGCACGCCTTCAAGACATTAAATAAAGTGAGCCATACTCATGCAATCACCGTCTTTACCGTTAGGGCATACCATGCACGTTCTCACCGTATATGGGCGATCATATAAAACTAGTAGGTGGCTAAGATTATACAATGGTATGTTAATCACTGTTACCGATTCATCTAAGAGTGCCCTATTTTACTAATCTTTATAGCCAAGATTAGATCCTTTGAAAAAAGGCACGATTATCGGCACCTTACTACCGCTGAATTTTTCGTTTCGGGGTGCTTTGTTTCCTTTAAGCTTTTTGCAGGCACTCAAATCCATTAGAAATGGCAATTCGCTAGACCACTTCTAGATATTGTACTTTTTGCTCTGTTCCAGTACACATAATGAAGGCTTTTCGAAACATGTTCTTTACAAGCGCCTTTTTGTATGTGAAAAAATTCCGCTCGAACCTCTCACCGAAACACATTGATGTGGAATGTGAGAGGTTTAGCAGTTGACATAATTAACAAGTATTAGACCAACCGCTACTATCAAAGGTGGGCAGGGGCATTTGTAGTAATTGCTCGTCAGATAGATTTTTGACAAGACGGGCAAGCATCTGAAGATACTTTCCTCTACTAACGGCCCTCAGAAAAGAGTTTTCAAAGTCAATACCGCATATTGAACGATGATTGGATTGAAGAGGCAAGTGGCTGCTTTGGAACCTTCTATCATTTCTTGGTAGAAATGTCAATT